TGAACACTGAGACATGTCCCAAAATACCACGCACTAGTTAGTGTTACTTTGGTAAAATCATGACTTTTTTATTATTATTTAGTGCTGGTGTCAGATGGGAAACCAGGGTATTTTGATACATAGTGTAATGATTCAGATTCTGAGTCACGCACCTTAAACAAGGACAAAAACTAAGGACAACTTGTTTTTTATTCCCATTCAATAGGACAATACAATAATAATATTATTAATAATAATAATTATTATTATTATTACGCAAGATATTTTGGATTATTATTTAAAATATAAAAATCAAACAAATCAATAAAGTAATATATTGCTATTCCAACAGTAATATTTTACTGTAAAATAAATTTAGATTTTTTTTTTAATAATAATAATTAATTATTATTATTATTCAAAATAATGTTTATTTTATGTAAATTATAAAAATCAAACACACCAATAAATAAATATATCATTATTTCAATAATAACATTGTGGTGTAAAATATAAAAAAGCGTTTAAGTATTTACTATTAAGTATTTAATAATAATACAATTATTGTTATTTCTTATTATTCAAATAATATTTTATTGTATTATTATTTAAATGTACAAATTAAACAAATCAATAAAGAAACATTACTCTTGCAATAATAATATAGTACTGTAAAATAACATTTTGTATTTATTAATAATAATAATAATAATAGATGTATTATTATTAGTTGTATTATTATTATTATTGAACATAATATTTTTTTGTTATTTAAATTATAAAAAATAAACACGTCAAATTAAAAATATACGTGTCTTGGAATAATAACAAACTTTAAATGTACACAATTTTGTATTTATTAATATTATTATCAATAATAATAATAATGGGTCATATTCAGGCAGAAAATATGAAAATGCATTGAAATATAGGGGGGGGTCACATCCCTGCTCAAAGAATGTCCAAAAAAATCAGTGATACTGTTGTACTTTTTGTAATTTAACTCATATTCTGTTATTAATTCGAGTCAAACCTGGTTAAATGACATCTAAATCCCTCAGGACTTGATAAAGTCATCAGTCACCTCTCAAAAGCGTAACGAAGCATGATGAATCCCAGAGCTAGAGGCAGAGCCAGGAGCAGATCCCGCGGGAGAGGACGCCGAGAGCCCTCCATCTTCTCCAGATCCTCCCAGCGGATTCCCGGAGGAAGCCAGTATTCCTGCTTCCAGAGCCACTGACTGAGCTGCTCCATCCTTCAGCCGCGGAAACTAAACACACCGCTTTTACATTACTGAGAAAAACTCTCAGATGACTGTATCTGTGGTGCAGAATGATTATCATATTCATACACCACGTAACATTCCCACACTTCAGTCCTGACCAGTGAATTTCCATGTCTTTTCCATGACCTTTCCAATCATTCCTGATTACTGGATAAGGATTGATTTTTTTTTTAGAAATCATTTTCCAGAGATTAATTGGGGAGGATTTCCATGCTCTAATCTTTTGAAATAATATAATTATTATACTTTTTTTATTATACAATTTCTTTTGTTCTACAATATTTTAAACCCAGATTTCTGCATATGTCAAATATGTACATTGCAAACTTTTTTTTATGCTAAAGACCTCCAAACGCTTGTGACCCCGTTCATAAATATAAAGAAAGCTGTATATTTTTATGAGTAAGAATGCATTTATATTGTGTGAGGAAAATATTAAATGTAATATTATTGAGACTATTAAATCAAATCAAATAAAAATAAAAATAATTGTTACATTTTTACATTGCTTTATTGTTGTGTAAATATTACATAACATAAACCAAGGTATTTTCATATGTGTGATGATTGCTAATAGTATTATTCAAAATAATATATTATTTGATTATTATTTAAATACTTACTTCCAATTTTTTTTTAAAAGGCTATTATATTGTTATCATAATAATAAAAAAGTTGAAATATCATCGGGAATATATTTATATTTTGAAATGAATTTGAGATCAACAATTTCTTAAATACTTTTTTCAACAAAGATTTTGATTTTAGAAAAACATTTAGAAAAAAAATCATGAGAAAAATAAAAAATGTGAAAATAATTGCAAATAAGTTCCTGATTTCTGACCAGTCTTTATAAAGCAAAACCATTTCTAAATTTATTATTAATATGAACATTACATTTTGTAAATTGTGAATTTTTGTGATTTTTTTTTTTTTAAATGCACAACTTTGACAGCCCTAAAAATACATTTGGCAAACAAAAAAATAAATAAATTGAAAAAATAAATAGAAAATGAAATTTTGACCCCAGTTTGAAACCCTGTATTACACAAATAGGTAGATTAAAGACAAACACAAACACATGTATCTGATGTACCATGAGAAAAGTCATCATGTCCATCAGATAAATCACTGCACGTACTGTCAGGTATCTTTCTCGTCTGCAGCAGATGTTGTTCACTGCACACCTGCTGGAACTCACCTGACCGACAGATGACAGCTGATATCTGCTTCAACAATCAGACATTCTTGTTTTATGAGAAATATACAATCTTCAGCACGTTTATAGTCACGAGACACATTCATAACATCAAGCATTAGAAACCAACTAATCCTACTGGAAAATGTCCGATACCTGCAGGTGTCCTCTGCAGGATGAAGATGATGAAGATGAGGATGGTGTGTGATGATGTGCGCAGTCGCAGTTCTGATCAGCGGATTTTACGCAAATTAATTTCCGTGGAGAGATTAGCATTCAGAATCTGGCTCACAAAACAATCGCAGTGCAAAAAAAATAAAATAGGACAGTAAAAAATATTTAAATAATCTCCAGACGACATTCTCTGCAGCCTGCCCTTTGGTAGCGTTGCGGTAAATTATTTAGAAATAAATATCCAATGAAAATAAACCGGAAGATCCGAATCCTTTCGCTCCTAGAATACTAATGTGAAGAATAAATGCTGAGGTGCGTGATGTCTGTGTGATAAAAGTGAGACCGTCTGCTCTTTACGAGAGACTGGTGTCTGTCTGTAGATGTGTCGAGACGCCTATTGGTCCAGGAGACGATGCTCGGAAGCCCGAGTCGTTTAGGCGATTCGGTTCTTTTGAACCGCTCGTTTCTGATAGGCGCAATTTGTGATTCACTTCAAACGATTCATTAAACGGAATCGGTTCGTTTGCAACCCGAACAAAGCTTCCCATCAAATACAGTACAAACAAACATAACTCTTATAATTTCTATGATAAAAGAAGCTAAATTACCTGTTGATGTTGATGTTTCGCATATGAACTGATTTGATGAGTTTACCAAGTAGCCTGCTGCAGCCAAGAAAAGATGAGAATTTAGCATAAACACAACAAATAACACCAAAAGCAACATGTTTTTGGACATGATATATTAGAACAGACGGCATACAAGACAATTAACCAAAAACTGTGGTAGCTATTTGCATGATTTGGACATACAAACAAAACACCAAGTATAATCAAAAACTGTGGCATTGGCATGTTTTGAATATGAATATGATTAGAACGGACAGCATGAACAAGACAAATATAACAAAACCTGGACATGATAAACAAAACAAATCTAACAAATATAATCAGACACTTTAGCATGTTTTGGATATGCTATTAGAACAGATTATATAAACAAGACAAAAATACTGTAATAATAAGCATGTTTTTGGACATGAGTAGAGCCGTTAATGACATGGCAACTATAACAAAAATAATTTTAAAAACTGTGGAATTAGCATGTTTTTGGACAATAACAGGCCTAACACTTAGCCTAACTTGGAGTAGCTTTTAAACACCATGGTATAAAAAAGGTAACTACACAGTACCGTGGTATACAGGGCCCTATAGTGGAGAAAAAAGCAAACATCTGATTCTGCACATTGTGTTTTGTAAGGGTCTGTCCGTCTCTTATCCAGATCCCATGCTCTAGTTTTTCTTCAACAGATGTCCCCTCTAGATTCACTCGCCCCTAATAAATGATTGCATCAATCTGTGGGGTTAAGTTCCGTTCCTTTACTTGTTCTCGTTCTATTGTGTAATATAAGCTCATACTGTACGCTCACATTGTTCACTGAGGTGAAACGTGAAAGTATTCGAGTATCAGATAATGGAGGAGGTTCACATGATGAGAGTGTGATAAGATGCAGAGTCCATCGATGCAATCACACTTTCACCTCTGAGCACATGCCTGCATGGCATTGCAGACGACACTCGTTTAACGCAGGCAGGTGTCAGGGTTAGCTTAGTTGACATGGCTTAGTGATGCAGGCTGTTGTTTTCCTGCAGTTCCATGCAGCGTTCAACATTAGCAAGTGCACATAGGGGTCAATATGAAATCATTTCACTGCTTTGGTTTGAGTGAAGGTTTGTTCTCTTGCACTAACACAGCTAACAGGGAACGCTCTCACAACTTTAACTGACGGTTTTTTGTTTTTTAAGTTATAGGCTATAAGAACATTTTTAAAGTAATGTTTATGGAATGTTCCTATAACTTATATACATTCTAATAATGTTGAGAAAATGTTCTCAAAACAACACTATTGTTCTATGTCAAGAAAACGTTCTTGGAATATTAAATATAAGCATTCAAATCATGTTAGATTTTGAATGGATATAAAGTTAGTAGAATGTTGTAAAAAAAGAACCTTTCCATAAAGTTATAATTACGACAAGAAAACTGGGCATTTCAACATTCAAGAAACATTTCACAGTAACGTTCCCACAATGTTTTTATAACTTCAATTTGTTACCTGGGAACTTCTACGATAAATGATACAATTTACTAAAAAATGCTCCAAGTGTTTCTTCATCTTTCATTTTCAAACAAAACATCCTTTTACTTCATCAAGTCAGCTAGACAAAAATGATACAAATTATATTCATAACTTAATGCAATACCCAATTTGTTTTAAGATTAAGCAACAAATAATTTTAACAGTGAAGAGTGAAGAATATGCTCTGTATCAGCAACAATTTATGAAATAAAAAATGTAATATTTAACACAGCAGCCTGTAAATCAGACTACAAAAAGAAGTGTGCTTAACTACTGAATACACACTTTATAAAAAAAACTGTACTTGCAGTTAATATAATATTAATGAAATAAAAGATGACTTAAGTGTACACTTTCATGACTATGTTTCTTAACACACTTCAGTACACTTTTAAAAATGAATAAAAAATGTAATATTTAACACAGCAGCCTGTAAATCAGACTACAAAAAGAAGTGTGCTTAACTGTACTGAATACACACTTTATTAAAAAAAACTGTACTTGCAGTTAATATAATATTAATGAAATAAAAGATGACTTAAGTGTACACTTTCATGACTATGTTTCTTAACACACTTCAGTACACTTTTAAAAATTGTCATTTGTAATACTGTCAAAAAAGTGCAATTACATAAATATGTACATTTAGTTTACCATATACATGCCTGTCAGCACATTCGGCAGTACAATTAATAAATAAAAAAATAGCCTATGAAATTACATAAACATGCATATGCTTAAGTGGGTCAATATGTTTCACTAATCACATTCAATCTAAACTTAAACTATAATATGTTTATTTAATTGTCATTATGTTACAATATAAATGTCTGTAGATCAGCTAAATCAAATTCTAACATGATGCTTCATGTGTCTGATGAAGGTCAGATTCCTGTGTTTTGTTCTGGTGAAGTGAAGCTGAACTCTTCTGTGTGTCTGCAGTCTTCACTAATGAGACGGAGGCTGAACTGGAATGTGATGTTTACTGGCTCTTTCCAAAACCCAGGCTTACAACTGGTTTCTTTAGGAGAGCTTTTATACAGTTTCTTCCTCTTTTGAACCTTAGAAAGTGAATTATTATTATTATTTGATCATGATGATTCATCTCATCTTCGTTGTTAACAGCAGCTCAGAATATGAAGCTCAGCTCATATTGAAGCTTATAACTGTGGATGTCAGGATATAAAGAGCTCATTGTTGTTGTTATAAGACATAATGAATTTCAGCAGGATGGAAGATTAGGTTGATTACTTTTTAGTATTATTATAATTATTAACACTCCTATTCCTACTACTATATAGCCTACCTATTAAAAAAAAGTTAAATCTAAATTAAAAAAGATAATGTCAATTTTATATTTATTAAATAATTTATAAGTATTATATATATATATGTGTGTGTTTTTTATAAGAAAAGGCTTCTTAAATAATTAGCATAAAAAGTTACACATTCCTTAAAGTATCACCAAATTATGTTTATATAGAAATGATTTCACCCAAACGTTTTAGTTCAAAAATAGAATTTCTACTGCATTTTCTGTAATATAATACAAACAATATTATACTATGGTGAGTGCAAGTATATTGCATATATTTTTAGTCATTGCACCTTTTGCACTGCACATTAATTCACCTGTAATATTCATTTTCAACAGTAGATGGCGCTTGATGCAAGGAATTGGAACAGACTTTTACTTGAATCAGTCAGTATAATATATAAATTCATGTTCAGATGGATCTCACACCTACTGACACATATTGTGCACAAAATTTTACAAGCGCTGGATAAAACTGCTAGTTGTGTTTTGGCTGCCTGATCGCTATGCAGTTTCTGGGAATGTTAAATGTCACATAAAAACAAACTGTTTGGTTGCTTCTCATTGCCAAGCAGCCGCTCTCTTTCTGTCTAAGTGGGCGTTTCTCAGCTAGAAGTTGCTAATAATGAAACGTCTGGCTACGTGACACCAATATTAAATACAATGTATATGCCCTAGAAAATGTCCTTATTAAACACTATCTGTGGCATTAGTTCCCTTTCAGTCGGTCACTCTCGACGTCACGTCGGATGACCAACGAAATTGGGATCTCGCTTAGAGGGACCAATCTACTTCGAGTGTAAACTAAACGAGCCAATGCACATTGGCATGCGATTATTGCATCCAGCTGCTGCTGATCACAGCGTGAGTATAAGTAGGCAGCAGATGCAGCGCATATTCAGCTTTTCGCTTCGGAGCCGAGCGATCACATCGTTCTGCTCCTGACTACTCTCTGAGAGAAGAAGACTGAATAAGTTCAGCGCGCTCTTAGAGAGCTCTTCTGTTGGCGGACGGCGCTTCAGCAGTGGTGGTTTCCCGTGTCGAGTGGGTTGCACACATCAGGCTGCATTACCCCCTGTTTGTGTTGCAGATGATCATCTCCCCTGCATGCCTCAGCACGCTAAAAGAGCTTTTTCCCCTAAAAGAGCAAATTCGGGTCGTGCCTGGGCATGAAGCATGCTGAGGTGGCTTTCGTGGATGACTCATGCTCCCATTGCGGGGGTATGACCATCTCGGAGTTGCGGACCGGACTCCGTTACCTGCAAAGGGGCGGAGTGCCGTGCCACTGCCTAGATCTGGGGTTATCTCTGGTGGCAGCTGGGGGCGTCCTTTTTGTGGCGGTGGGTGGACTGGTCTTACGGTCACGGTGAGGAATTCCCCTCCGGGGATGCCCCAGCCAGCCGGCACTC